GGCTGGGGGTGGTGGTGTTATGCAGAACTGTTTTTAATTCGTGTGGTGGCGGGTGAAGAGTGGCAGGATGGGAAACAAGCGAGCATCCTTTTATTGTGCGCCCACTCTCTGCAGAGCATCCGCCGAATTCCTCTGCCATGCATCAGAACCCGGCGTCTTGTAAACAGGCGCTAGACAACATTCCAGATGAGTTGAAGGGGGCCGGCACGAGCTAAGTGACACCGCCTGGAAACTCATGTGGTTTTCATTCTTGCGCTCCGCGTTTTGGATGAGGGTCAGCCGTGTCAAAAACCTTTGGCTGAGAGCACACCTGAGGTCAGCTGCAGAGGACATTTCACCCTTCAGCAGACGGGGGTTTATCTCGCTTTTAGGCCTCTCAGACATAAGAATGTCAAGTATTTCAACTGGATTTCAATCTATTTTCCTTAGTAGACAACCTGAGCTGAGATGGAAAACACAAAAGAGTCGTGGGTCTGACTGAAGCCTCCAATCTGGGTTACGTTTTGAACATCAGATCTAATCAGCTTCTCCTTTTGTGAAGCTGATAGCTTCAGTTAACTCTTTTTGATAAAGCGCTCTTATTAAGTGCGGCGTCCTGCTTTCAGAATAAATGCAATTTCACATTGTCAATCACTTTAAATTAAGAACAGGCAAACGCCATGCTGGGACTCAGACTGCACACGCACACAAAATAAACTTTCTGAATTATTGACTGACAGCGGCGATTCTAAAGAAGAGGATTCTGGTCCTCCACGGATATTTACATCCAGCAGAACCCTCCAACTCAGAAAACTTCATAACTTAAAGAGCTTTGCTTCCAGACGTGGCCTTTAGACGCTCGGTGTGCTCGGTTTACATCCATGCCAACGTCTGTCAGAGGCTGCTTCAAAGCTTCAAAGCTGCTCATCAGTAGCTGGTGTTTCCTGCTGCAACAGTCAGAGCAAGATTACCCACGATTCTTATCAAACACCTTTGACCCGCTGCTGCAGATCCACGGAGGAAACAAAACACTGCAGGCTTTAATTTGAATACACAGCTAGAAAAATAAAACATTTCCTGCAAACAGGAAAGCAAAAGTACTCACAATATCTATACAGATAAAATTGTTGCAATGCAGAATTTTTTTGAAGCCATGTTGTTAAACTGAATAAAGCTAAAGCACCATGGATATGTTGAGCGTGATTTAAACTTTATCTCTTATTTGGACAACATCTAAAGGGATTTCTTACATTTCAGTTGGAGCGTAATCCGGTGCCCTCATCCTGGCGCCGTCTTTTAGTCTGCAGCAAAACTCTTCATCGATCTGCACGCCGGGGTACGGGGAGGCACCTGGAATAAAAAAAAAACATTAAAATACAGTAAGTGTATATAACATCCGCATTGCATTAAAAATATCATTTGCTGTACTTTTAAAAAGGATAATTTGTGGGACTGCATGTTAACTTTATACAGGTAATTAATTTATTCAGTAAAAGTAAAACGAAAAACCTACACATAAAAAATTGCACGAGTAAACAGTACCTGAAAAAGAAGGGTAAGAAGTATACACTTGTTTAGCATGTGTAACAATAACAATATAATTTATGTGACAAAATATTAACTTTACTGAGATTAAATGTAAGGATATTAATATGACAGCTGCAGAAGTAGTAAAAAAAGGCTTAAAAAAGAGAAGTTTATTTGACAACGATGGAGCTCAGATTAGAAACCGTTTGGATAATTTAACACTGGTTCAGTTTTTACACACATCACAAGCAAAGAGCTGTTTTTCTCATTCAGCTGCATCATAAATCTGTCTGATTTCTCACTCACCAACCTAAAGGGAACCCTCCACTGACTTTATTTATTTTTGACCCACTAAAGCGGGAAATAAAGATTTAATGCAGACCTGAAGGACTTTACGTACGTCATGGGAAAGCATGAAAATATATAGCGTCATGTTGTTGATTTTGGAAAAGAGCTGTTTATTCTCACATTTTTCTGACACCGTAGATTTTATTTTTGTTTGCGTTAATTCCCATGAACGACATAATTAATCACATTTCAGACAATCCAAATCTAACAAAGATAATCTGATATTTGTGTAAGAAGAGAAAACATTTCGGTTCCTGGGGTCCCTGTTCAGATGGATCACGTTTCCAGCTGCAGATGATTTGAACTTCATCACTTTTTTGTGGAGAGAATTGGTGTGAAAACAGATAGGAGCTGAAGTGGGCCTCTTTAATCCACTACAGGGAGAGTCTTATCTTCCCAAACTTTTGTTAACTGACACAAACATAGATTATGTTAATGTCTCTATTAAAATATTCATTTGATTTATTTAATGTGGATTGTTTATCCAGTAAAAAACTAAGAATTTAGTGCTGAAAGTGTTATCAGGAAAGTAAAAGACCCAAAAATTTTCACTATAGTTTTATTGGTTTTATATTTCTGTACATTTATTGCAGTCTAACTACAACTTTGAAAAATAAATCAAGACATTTAGCTCATTCAAGAGATGGGTGCTATATGTCTTTTGGTTTTTGTAAATTTTATACTTTTAAAATGTTTTAAATGGTATTTACAAATAATTTTCCAATTAAAATACACAGAAATTGATTTCAAAACATAGTTCTCCTTTAAATCAGCATCAATGTACTTGCTTTATTCTTGTCTTTTTTTGCTTTTAGCTAATTTTGTGCTATTTTCAGCCACTAGCCTTCTGCTATTTTATAGTTTTTAATCCACCTTTGTAACCATTAGCTTCTAGCAAGCCTTTTGCTACCTTTGGCCAACATTAGATTCTTATAGCTTTTAGAAAGTGTTTTGTTTGATATTAGCTTAAGCTGATATTTTGCTACTTTTTGCTTACAGTTAGGCATTTGTTACTTTAGCTTTATGCAATTTTTTTTACCTTTTATTGTTTTTAGCTGTCCTTTTTCTATTTGTCGCTTCCTTTTGCTACTTTTAGCCTTTTTTTGCTACTTTCAGCTGTTAGCTGGTGCTTTCTTTTATTTTAGCTTTAAGCTAGTATTTTGCTATTTTTAGCTTTCAATTAGCTGTTTGCTACTTGTAGCTCTGGGTCATAAATATACCCTTGTATAATCAGTTTATAAATCTTAAGCATCTTAAAGTGAAGCTGAAGATGACATAAAATGAATGTTTGGGTTGTTGAATGAAAAATAGCTGCAGGATCACATTTGGGATGCAGGAAGATAAAACAGACAGATTTTAATGAGCTACAGAACAAAAAAGTGTTGGCTCAGCAGATAAAACACTCAAAAACTGGACAAAAGCACTTCTTCAGACCGAAGTGAAGAGAATAACAATGATCTACAACGAACAAAGAAATCAGAGTGAGGAAATTAAACCTGACCACCAGATGTGATAATTAGAGAGAAAGGACAATTGGACAGTAATTCTGAAAAAGGAATAAGATTTATGGAAAGAAATTAGCTAGAAAATGCTAACATCAAGAAACCACAAAAACCTATTGATAAAATAAAATAAAACATTTTAGGACAGTTTTGTGCGCTTTCTGAATATATACAACAGGTTTAGTGGATAAATGAAGGAAGACTTTTAAGTTAAACAGAATTTAACATCAAAGAGAGCAGAGTTGTATTTAAGTAAGTAGAAATACTTTGTTACTGTACTTAGGTAGAAATTTTTGTTATCTGTACTCTACCTGAGTAATTGTTTTTTAGCCGACCTTTTACTTCGGTTCCTTAAATTTTTTAAAAAGGTAAGAAGTAGAAAGTCATTACTCCTATTTCGTTCCAGCTTATTGTTAAAAAAATTACTTCCCTGATAAATTGTGTCTCCTGGATAGAATGAATGTAATTGTGGTTAGATGAAAAATATAAATATATATACCATTCTGACATTGTAATAGTTTGTACACAACCCATCCCAGCTGCTCCCCTTTAGGACGTTTTTTTTTTTTTTTTTTTTTTTTTGAGAAGTCACTTCCCAATAAATATCATTTTGGAAAATCTAACCACTAATTTTTACTCAATACTATACCTAAGTATATTTTAAGCTAGAAATTTACTTTTGATACTTAAGTCCAAAAAAATAAATAAATAAATCAGATACTTTAAGACTTTTACTTAAGTAATATTCTTAGAGGAGACTTCAACTTTTACCAAAGTAATTTTATGATAAGATACTTGTACTTTTACTCAAGTATCACTTTGAGGTGAACCTTACCTAATTTCCCTCTTGGATCAATTTAATCTTTGGATTAATTTATCATTTTTGACTATAATTAAATTAAATTGAAAGAGAGGAGGTGTTCTCAGATGTGTTTATGAGTGGGTAGATCAGTGAATAAATAAACAATAAGAATAAATTTTACATCTATTCTAATCTTTTTTTTACCATGCTGATAATCTCGTACTCTAGAAGAACAATCTGTGAAAGACTGCAGCATTTTAGCTCAAATAAGACCAAACTCACTTCAGATTTTAATGTATTTTTTTCAAATTTATAAAGGCTCATTTAAGTCCATACAAATGTTTGTATTTTAGAAAGAAACAGGGAAGAAAACATCTTTGTGACATCTTTCTGTAGTTTGACAGTTTGAACTGTGACAAAAACTAACTTTAACTGTTCTCTGCTTCTTCTGCTCCCTGTGACCTTCTAACCTACTTTACTTCGTGTGACGTCTTGCTTTAGAAACGTGTTGAGCCACGATGTGCAGACAGATCAGCACACTGAGAGGCCGCAGCGTGAACGCAGCAGGGCGGCACTTTTTACTCGTCTGCCTGCTCGCTTTCTGTGAGTTGATGCTGCCAGCTGGGATAAAAAACAGAGCGCTTTTATGGGGAGGTAGATTTAATGTGCCACGCCTGTCCTCTTATTCACAAGCTTACACAAGCTCTAATGTTTTAAAAAACAGTTTTCTTAGACTGACAATGGGATTTCATGCTCTTTTTGTCCCACAGGGACACTTAGAAGAAGACAGCTATTACTCAGTACATCTGGTGAGGCTGTTTAACACTGAAGACTAATCCACAAAGCACTCCTCATGAAAAATGTATAGTAAAGGCTGTGAGGTTTTAAATAGATTTGGCTGCTTTTATTTTTGTAAACCTTTACAATGCCTGTGACATGCATGTCCTTCAAATACAAAAAGCTGAAAAAAAAAACATCTTTACATTTAAGAAATTTGGCATAATACACAATATTTTGCCCATTTTGTCACATAAATGGCATTTTTCTTTTGAACTTAGCTCACACTGAAACAGGAAGTGACATCGAAAGGAAACTTTATGGTCTTTGTTTGATGATATAATATTATTTGAACTCTGACACTGCTTTATCTCTCTGACAGAGATAAAAAATAATCTAAAGAAACGTCAAATACTTTTCTACAGCCTTTTGTTCGCATTGTAGTGATGCTCTGTTCATTCAGACATTCCCCTTTGACATCACTTCCTGTTACTTCACATGCAAATATCTCAACAACTGTTCATCTCAGCGGCATTATAATTTTTTTGCTAAATGTTATCAATGTTATCTTTCAAAAAATGCATTGATTATTTTTTTTACAAAAATCGGATGTCAGAGGCTCTTTAAATTTATACATGTCTGGAAGTTATTTTACATGGGTTACCGCTGTTTTTATGATAAAGTGTATAACTGTATATATGAGGAGCAGAAGACGTTAAATAATTTAACTTCAGCTTTAATTAGGTTTTTATGAGGAAAACAGACATTTCAGCTTCTCCTCCTTTAAGTTTTATTACAAAGAAGCTTCAAAACACTTTACGAGTTTTGGGGAATAGTTTAGAAGAACAAAACACTAGAAAGAAAACTTCTGACAGAGGAACACCCTGTAGTGCAGAAACCTGTGCTTTTTTTTGCTTCTGATTGGGTAACAGTTGACTTTTTCTCAGGGCTCAGAGCAACTGTTTCAGTTCTGTTCCAGGGGGTGAAAATATCTTAAACATTTCACAGAACAACCAGAGTGCTGCCAGGCATCGTGGCAAAAAAGGGAATAAAATGATCAAATGAAATAAAAGACCCATGCCTTGCAAAGATCTCGAGGTCAGATGAGTTTGTGGGACTCACCCAGAGAGAAGATCTCCCACATGAGAACACCGAAGGACCAAACGTCACTCTGAGTTGTGTAGATCTTGTCAAATATGGCCTCAGGAGCCATCCACTTGAGTGGCAGCCTAGCCTGTGAGTGAATATTGTTATCAGGTCAGAAACTGCTTTTTAAATTTTTTTTCATGTTTGCATGCCTCACCTATTAACACGGCACTGATGATTTTCTAACTTCTGTAAAAGGTCAGACAGTTTAAACAGCTCAATCCTCTAAGCAAACATAACTGCTTTGTTGTTGCTAACTTAGCAGTAGCTTACCGGTTTTCTCGCTTTTTATTTAATGAGAACTCTTTAAAGTATTTTTAAGATTCCAAGCAACCATAATCAAATAAATATACAGCAGTGTTGACAGCTTACATCTCCTTTGCGAACGTAATCCGGGTCTTTGTAAATGTCCCTGGCAAGCCCGAAGTCACAAATCTTCACAACGTTGTTCTCAGACAGTAAGATGTTCCGCGCGGCCAAGTCTCGATGAATGCACTGATGGAAAAACAGAAGAAAAGCTCAGAGCTGCATTCAAACTGAAATTTGAATTTTTCTGCATGTCTTTGCACTCAGCATAGTGCGTGCGCGCGCGCGCGCACACACACACACACACACAAACACACACACACACACACACACACACACAC